AGGAGAATCAAAATAACAAGGTGTTCCTAACAACTGTGAAGGAATGCATGTCCCGGGGAGGAAACGAGTCGGTTTTTCTGAAGACTCAAGGAGTGATCAATGTTTGTGTTGCTGTGATGCAGACAACTCCAGATTCCAAGGAATGTTGCAGGACCCTGCCCTCTCGGCAGAAATTCTTCTGATGTCCCCGGCATGGAACGAGACTAGGCAGGTAAGAGCCATACCTTTGCTTCGATCTTGTCCTGCCCAAAACCGAACAGAGATTGATTTTGTCATGGGAATACAGAAAAGTGTCACCGTTGCTGGGCGTGCTGGGAAATGGCTTTGTCCGGAGACTTGTCGGCTTTATTCCTTTTGCTTTTCACATCAAGTCCATCAGATAAAAAAACTCGTTTAGGAAGACGCAGGGTGTGATCTGATGGAGAAACAACTGATCACACCCACAATGTGTGCTGACCACGGGGTAGCTCCTCCTGACCTGTATGTTTCAAAAATCTAATACAGAAGGACCCCCTTATCCGCAGGATCAGTATCCACTGATTCATTCATCCGGGGTCTGGAAATATTAAATATATTAAAAGAAAACCCCCCTAAAATGTTTATTTTTAACAATGAAATTACCAGAACTGGCTACTAGAGGGAGCAAGAGACCATACTGTGTATACCATATGCTATTAAAATAGTGTTCCATGTTTTTTCAGCATCCATGGGTGGTGGCTTCATATCAATCCCCCGTGGATATGGGGCCCTACCGTACCTAATAGATAGGGCAGCCGAGTCTCAAAGTGACCGCTGAAGTCTTAGGGAACTTGTGTGGTTCCTCCAGTCTCCTGGCAGAGAGATAAATTGAAGGATGAGAAAACCTTTGTGTGAGAGGTGTATTTAAAGTTTGGGCATTTATTTCCAGACCCAGCTGATGCCAGAACGTCCTGGCTTACTGGCACTAAGGTGATTAAATACGTCATGTGGTTGCTTCCCTCCCCATATTCGCCTGCCTTGCCCCATGACATTGCAAGGATCCATCTCCCGCACATCACAAGGGCCCAACCCTTCATCATAGGCTTTGGCCCTGACATCTAGGCATGAGATTTTCAGAGTTTGTGAGCTAAACTCCATGGGAGTTGCAAGGAATTATGGGTGGGGTGGTCTCTCAAACAAACCTCCTACAAAAAAAGCCTCTCAAACAAACCACCAGGCCCATAATATCTTGTAGCTCTCATGGAGCTTAACCCATCCACCAATTTCCTCTGGCCAGTTAGTAATGGCGATGAGTGCCTTAATGCAAAACTGATTAATTACTTCTGCACTCAGAGCCATGATCTTTTGTGAACACCCAGCTGGATACCTATAGGATTCTTCCACAGAAGAAAACACTAGATTTCAACCTGGCTTCAGAAGCAAGTTCTCCACCTTCTGATTAAGCCAGTCCAACTTCTCCCAGAAATCTCCTTTTTTTTGTGGAGCCCCTTGCTATTTCCTTTAAAAAACAAAAGCCAGGATTACTAATCATATGAGTAATGTCCAATTGTCGTTTTGTCCACAGGAAACCGAGGAAATGAGCTTCCCTGAAAGAAAATGAGTTTAACATTCTCATGGGCTAAAAGTAAACCCTCTTGGATGTCAATTTTTATTCAAGGTGGGGGGGAAATTAAGGGATGCCTCCAGTACTAGAAGCCTGGGAAAACGCTGCTTCCAGAGCTTGAAGGGGTTAATTCCTGGACTACAAAGCCCATTTCCCACTTGTGGTACAATAAGTACTGCTTTTTGTGCCCCAAGAGGCTCACCATCCCTCCAACCACCTCCCTCTCTCCTTTCAGTCCTTCTTTCAAGCCTCTGTTTATCGTCACCTTTCCGCCACTCCGAGCTCCGAAAGCCTTTGCTATTACACCCATCCTATATAACCCCCAGGGTTCAGGAAGGCAACAGCGCCCCTTAGGGGCAGGCAGGAGGAACAACAAGGACTTCTCCTTCTCTGTCCAAATCCGCTTTCCATGGTTCTTCTCCTGGTGGTGCAGCTCTCCAGTGAGGTGGACTGGTAGCCAGCAGCTGAGAAGTTACCTTTTTTGGACCAGCTCCCAAGCACATGGCCTGCAGGAGGTCTTCTGGGAGCTAGATGGGCCACCCCAAAAAAGAAACCTTCCTCAATTGTGGGTGAATCCAGATGGGGCCCTTTTCCTGTCATTCACACACCAAGCTTTCTCTACTGCTCACTATGGGTAGCAGCTGAGTTCTTTCCCTCTGCTCCATGAGTTTGGTTATATTTCTTATTCTTGTTATTATTATTAGGTTCTGCTGGGTTGCTGCATATTCTAATAGTGATTGTTAGCTGGACGACTGCAACTTTTATTAGTCAACAAACTCTAAAGAGTTTCTGCAAGGAGAGGTGAATACCTACGCTAGAGTATATTCAGAAGTAATTTACCCTTCTCTTCTTCTAGGGATGCCCTAAGACTGTGCAGCTTGCCGAAAGCCACTTGGTTGGCTCTACTCAGAGGAGGCACAGCGGGGAATCGAACTCCCAACTTCTGGCTCCGGAGCCAGAGACCTAAGCCACTCAGCTCTCTAGCTAGCTTAGTTCCCAGTATGCATCTCACCAAAGAGGAATCTTCATCGTCTATCACACCAGATACAGCACATTCAGCTCCTTTATGCCAGTTGCTAATTTTTGCTAATTCTTCAGCTAACAAGAAGGAGATAGTCACTAACATTTCTCAAGCACTGGGAAATGGTGAGAAAAGAGAAGCCCGTTCTAGAGTGAGGGAAGGAATGTTTTTTGGTCTCTGTATTCCAGATTTCTATATGATCTTAGCATGGCCAACAACGGTGGAAATCTGGGAGTTGTAAACCAAAACAACCACATATTTCGACGTCTTTGATGCCCCACCAAGTGGTCCTTCCAAAGCTGAAGTTCTCCCAGAGCATCATCCTCACCTTTATGGGCTCCCTCTCTTTGAAGGGCTTCACCCTTGTAGGCTTGGCCAAGATCTTTCACCATGATCATCTCCAAAGATGGAGTCATGTTGACGCCAACTCACGGCCCCTGGTCCAATGGCCCCCATCCCCGCCAGCAGAGAAAGAACGAGGCAGACAAGCAACCGTCTACTGAAAACTTTAATGAAACCAATAAGTTAATAAGTTAATCAAGTGAGGTAACTATCTGCTGTCTCAGAAAAAAAAGGTTTGATTGGGGAATCTGTCAGAAGGTCCACCTCGTTGCCGATTTCTTTTTCCCCTCCTCGCTTGGTTGGTCAAAGTGATTCCCTGCCTGCTCTTCATCGCCTCCCCTTTCAACCGCACATCATCATCACCCTGACGCAACCCCTTCCCCACTTAGGGAGACATTTGTCTCAGCTGGAAGACTGAGGTGTGCTCTCGAAAAGACACCGTGTTCAGTGCATTGAGAAGGGGGGGGGAAGAGCTGTGCTCCAGAGAAGACACGGGGAGAGGTGGGGAGACGTTGCAGCCATCCCTTCGTGACACATGCAGGGCATGCAAAGAGGGGAGTGCATCGGGGCGAGAGGGGCTGGTGGCATGCACCCTATAGAGGCATGAAATGGAAGCCAGGCCTTTCCCCCCCTCCCAAAGTAGAAAGTTATGTTCTTATGTGCCTATGGTAACCCTTGTAGGGTTTTGGAGGCGTGTGAGATGTTCAGGAGGAGGTTGACCTTTGCCCACCCCCGTTTCCATAAGCTTCCATGACCAAGCGGGAATCTGAACCAAGATCTCCTTAGTTTGACACTCAATCCACTACACTGCATGGATGTTCCCGCAGGAGACACCTGGGGGACGTTTTCTCTAAGCTCTCACCCATCCCTCCTTGAGTAGCTTCCGGAACCATCAAAAAGAACAGATCACCCTTCCAGTTCTTATGCTTCTATCTTTTTCATAGATTGTAGCAGTGGTGCATGGGTGGCTGAGGAGTAGAACGAGGGCATATACCAAGTGGGAGAGTATGAAGGCTCTCTAACTCCTTTCTTATTAAAAAAAACATTCAGATAGCCAATCAGGGAAGATGGGAGGGGAATACAGTGGTGCCTCGCTAGACGATGATAATTCGTTCCACTGAAATCGCTGTCTAGCGAAATCATTGCCTAGGGAAAAGCAAATCATTGTCTAGCGAAAATCGGTTTGCGAAGCAGGGACCAAACATTGTCCAGCGAAATTCCCCCATAGGAATCACTGCTTTGCGAATCGCTATAGCGATTGCAAAAAGTCAGTGTCTAGCGAAAAAAACTGTCATGCGGGGTAACTGTCTAGCGAGGCACCACTGTACATTAATTTCTAGGGGCAAAGCAGAGACTGGAGGAAAAAACTTAGGGGAGAAAATAGACAAAACAGATAATTTCAGCCTGCAGAGTATTCTCAGAGGACTCTTTGCTAATTAATAATAATAATAATTTAGGAGAAATCCATCATGAGCTAAGAAGATGATCAGCTTGAATTGTCAGGTGAAAGCACCAGCATGGGTATGCAGTAACCAATCTGAGGCAGTAATGCCACACAGAAGTTACGCCTGTCCTGACTCCCTGATTAATAAAAGGATGGAAAAGTTACATTTTCAAAGCTTGGCCATGCTACCTTGTGGGCCACAACTCCAGTTGCACACCAGAATGCCACATGTCCAAGTTCTTGACTGTTTCTGGGATCCCAGCGCCCCGAATCCCCACGCTGGCGATGAGATTCGAGAACTCACCGTTCAAAAACGAGCAACTTTCCTTCACTCAGAGGAAAGCAGACCTCAATCGTATAAGGGGTTCAAAAGACAACTGAAAATAACGGAAGGAACGGGTACCTCCACCGAAGTATTTGGTCAAAAAGAAGGAACTGCACTCCCAGGATGTAGAAAACACAATGTTCTTTATTTCAGTATAAAATAGCCGGTGCGTTTCAGCCGATCAACGTTCTTCAAGGGCATGTTTGTTATAGACCGAATAAGCAGTGAAAGAGCTAATCAGAGTATACTAAACATGCCCCATAAGAAGGCTGAAACGCGTCGGGCATTTATCCTGAACGAAAGAACATTCCATTTTCTACTTCCTGGGACTCCCATCTCCTTTTTGACCTAAAATAAAAACACACCTGGTCCATTCGTACAATCCCTTTTTCCTGGCGGGACACCCAAGACACTGTCTCTTTGTGGGCTGATTGTACACAAAAGGAACCCCCCCACCCCGTGTGTGTGTGCAGTTTTGTGAGATGGCAATCGACTTCCCCCCTCCAAAAAGTGCAAAGGCTTAAAGTCTACCGCGACGGCCACAACAGAGAACATTCAGAAAAAGCAGCAGAGGATAAGCTAATTCGGAAAGAGGAAGGGGAGACCTGGCGGCGTGGCGTTAAGATGGGAAAGGTAAGGTGACAGAAGCTGGACGTTCAACCCTATTCAGCCTTTAAAAACATAAATTTGAGGGGGATATTAGTTCTACCCCTTCTTTGCATATTTCTGTCCTTCTCCTCTCCCCAGAACATGGGCGGGAGCTGTAAATCGTACGAATCCATGCCTAGAAGCTATTTTGCACTTCATAAATAGGCTCCTCATGAGAGGAAAATAAATGGAAACATTCCAGGCAAGGCACAGGGCTACCATGCTGCTCCTCCTCCTTATATATGCATATATATATATGTAATTATTTATTATTATTATTATTATTCTATAAGGTCTGAATAGGGTTTTCAACTATGATGGAACCAGGTTTCTGATGAGCATCACAAATGGACCGCCTTAGCTCGCATGCCTCCGGGAACATGAAGGTGGGACTCCTAGACCCACAGACCAGGTCCACAGGTCTGGTCTGAGCGAGCAATGGAGTTGCATTCATTGGGTCCTTTGAGGGAAGGCAGGGCCTGAAGGAGGAGTGCGCCAGGCATGGCCCTCCCGAAGTCATTGGACATCAGTCCCACCAAGGGACGCTTGGATTTTCAGCCCAGTGACATGGGAGGGCCACACATCGCCCACCCTCCACCGAAATCGACACCACAAGTGTCCTTCATTTCTCCCACTCCAGAACCTCAGGTTGTTGCTTTTTCTGGGCTACAAAATTCTCGTCAGTGTCGTCCAGAAAAGCAACATCATTGAGGCTCTGAAAAGAGTCCCCACAGAACCCAACTTCATATTCCGGCAATGCCCTTGGGAGGAAAGCTGGATCCGGTCCTCTGTTGGGACTAGAGGGAGGCTGGCGCTCTCACCCCAAAGGCAGAGACTGCCCTGAAGGCCACCCAGGGATTTTTCAGCTCCTGAACATTTGACTTGGCCTCGTACGTAATATTACATCACCCGAGGCTCCTGCTAGCTCCCTAGGTCTAGGAGGCTCTCCCCCCTTTGCTCGGCTGGTCCAGATTGATTTCAGGTTGCATATTCAAGATTGTTGCATAAAACATTGCCCGTTCCACCAAGGAATCGCTTCCTCTGTGCTTATGACTTGGGTCACAGAATAATGCCCTTAGGGGTGTGTGCATGGGAGGGGAGGTATCGGAGAAGTTCCAAGGTGCTTAGAAAGGCTGCCCGTCGGCAGAGCTAGGCATTGCCAGTTCCTCATCTCTTCTAGATGCAAAGAGAGTCGCGTTGTCCCGTGTGAAGCAGTGGGGCCGGGAGAGGGAGAAAGGGCGACGGCCTAGCTTTTGCATAGCTGTTAAGAAGCGTCTCCAACCTAGTTTTTCCAGAAGGAAAAAAAAAGTCCAGAGTTTGGTAGCTGTCAGATAAAAGTCCCCAAGCGGGGAGGACCACCTATAGGTCAGAGAGCCTTTGCTCAGGTGGGGAACGGCCCAGTGGCTCCCCTTCCATGGAAGCTCTTTGGTGGCGAAGAGCTAGTTCTTCTCTGAAGCTGGAAGCACCTCAAGCTGCTTCTGATTGCAGAGAGATTAGAGAAGGCTGAGGGGTGGAAGATGCATCCCTCCAAACGTCGACTGAGGTGGTCACGGCTTCCCCTCCACAGAGGAGGGCCCCCCTCCTCATCCTGCCCCTTATTGTCCTTACCAGTGGCACAAAATGTTGGAGGAGGTTTTGGTTATGATGAACGGGGTGGCCACCATAAACGCCTTTGTTTCTAAAGCCACCGAGACACCACAACGTCTGCGCTGGAGGTCTGACGACCAGGTAGTCCTTAGAACATCCAGGGCTAGTGGCTTTGTCCAGAACTGGAAGACTTCAAGTAAAGTTGAGGCAATTGTTGTGTTGTGCTGGGAGCAGAGTTTCTCCAATGGGGAGCCTGCCAACACGGGTGAGGTTGAAGAAGAGGGTTTGGGCTCCAGGGAGAGCAGTGTGCCCTACCACTCTCCTCCCCACCTACCCTGGGAAGAAGATCATCCTCCCTCATCTCCTGCAAACCCAACACGGCTGGTGCATTAGCTGTAACATGGCTAGTTCCAGGAACCCCCTTAGTCCATGTTGGTGCTAGCTGACCGGGAGATGTTCAGGGTCTGCGCAGAGACAGACATGTCCTCGTGGTCCACGGGGCTGTGGTAGTCGGAGGTGATGTCAGGCTCCCCCGTCGGGATCGGCATGGCGGTCAGGCTGATGGAATTCACGGAGCCCTTACGCAGGCACTGTGAGTAGACCCCCAGGAGCAAATCTAGCTTATGCTCAATGGACTGCACCTGCACAAAGCAAGAGGGTGGGTGGGAAAGAGAGAAAGAGAAAGAGAAAAATGTTGACCCAAAGAAACTCGATTTCTACTTCACAAGGTCGACCTTGATTCTGACTTTGGACAACCTTGTAGCAGCTCAACTTGACATGACCCTATGAGCCTTGCACCTGGCTGAGACAGGACAGCCATCTCGCAGCTCATCTTGAGCTACAACCATTTTAACAATGTCTAAGGTCTGTCAGTCTGTCTAAGGGGGACGTGGTGGCACTGTGGGTTAAACCGCAGAAGCCTCTGTGCTGCAAGGTCAGAAGACCAGCCATCGTAAGATCGAATCCATGCAACGGAGGGAGCTCCCGTCACTTGTCCCTGCTCCTGCCAACCTAGCAGGTCAAAATCATGTAAAAATGCGAGTAGCTAAATAGGTACCACCTCGGTGGGAAGGTAATGGCGTTCGGTGTCTAGTCGCGCTGGCCACGTGACCACGGAAACTGTCTCTGGACAAACACTGGCTCTACGGCTTGGAGACGGGGATGAGCACCACACCCTAGAGTCGGACACAACTGGACTAAAAGTCAAGGGGAACCTTTACCTTTACCTAAGGTCTGTCAAGCTCTCTCTTTTCAGAGGTGGGGGCTACCACCTCTGATCCCGTAAGGCATGGGAAGGTTTAAAAACAGAACACTGTTGTCAGGAGGGGGTTAGGGTTGCCTGACAGGGTAGGGACCTGGAGCCAACCATCAGTGTCCCCCTCAGCACAGACTGTTGTGACACACACACACCCCAAAGTGCTGGTGGGAATAACTGGGTTATCTGCAAGGATTTGAATAGCTAAAGAACCATGCCAACTGCCTTGATCCGTTCCTGCACAGTTCCCCCCCCCCATATGAAATCTATTTTAAAAATGGGAGAGAGGGGCCAAAGATAAGTGGTAGGGCACACATTTTGCATGTAGTTAAAAAGCAACGGTTAGAGGGTCACGAGAAAGGCCTCTGCTGAAGACCCTCGAAAGCTCCAGTAAGAGTAAACCGTATGTGGAGAAATATACACTGAGCATGTAGGAGGTAATTTCTGAGGTTCTTAAAGAGGGCAGAAATGTTGGCTCCCAGTTGGTAGGTACAAGAGGAGTCTTCGTTGTATCGAGGGTGCCTTCTTTTTCCTCCTGCTCCTCCTCCACCATCAATACCCCCACCATCTCCTCCTCCTCCTCCTCCTCCTCTGGACCCAAGCACACCTGCTTCTCCACCTTGACCACTCGTCCCATCATGCTGAGCTCATCCACCAGCTCCACTTCCAGCGACATCTTCTCGCCCCGCTCCCGGATCTTCTTGTCGATGGCAATCGCTCCTCGCCCCACAATCTGATCCACCCTTGGCAGGCAAGGGAAGAAGAGAAGAGGTTGGGGAAGAGAATCAGGCTGGAAAGCAACGGCTGCACGCTGCGGGTGAATGAAGCAGAGCCTAGATGCATGGCTTGGCCGAACTACAGTCCCCATAACAAACCGGACCGCACAGTGTCTCCATTTTGCAATGGGACTTATAATAATAATGATCTTAGAATGGCTGAGCTGGAAGGAACCAATGGATCATCATGTCCAACCCCTGTCAAGGAGTCTCCCAACCTCTGGCTCCACCGCCAGATGCCTAAACCACTGAGCTATCCAGTATTTCATTAAGGATCATCATCATCATCTTAGAACTTCAGAGCTGGAAGGGACTCTATGGGTCATCCAGTCCTGCCCCTGTCAAGGAGGCCCAGTGGGGAATCGAACTCCCAACCTCTGGCTCCACAGCCAAAGACCTCAACTGTTGAGCTACCCAACAGTTTTTGCTCTTCTACACGACAAGGAAGCCAAGATCCCATAAGGGCATCGGAAGCTCTACTTACCGGGTCTGGAGACTCTTGATTCTGCCCAGCATGTCCAGGTGCCCGGCTGAATACTGCTCGATCACATCCTTGACATCGTACGGACGCAAAGTCTCCTTGAATTTCCTTTTGGCCACCAGGAACTTGAGGATCCTATGGAAGTGAGCAAGCATCCATAAAGGCATGAGAAGAGAGAGCCAGATGACTGGATACCTCGAGCTGATAGTTGTGCAAAGCTGAGCTCCTGGTCCATTATAAGGATTTGGGAGCTCTAGCCCTATAGATCTTCTCGCTGTTGGGAGGATGGATTAAATTTTGTGCACTCCAAGCTGGCCAGTCCATCCCTCCAACTGACTCCCCCCCCCATTCTCCTTGGATGTGCAACTTCAGCCATTAAGAAACCCAACCGGAGAAGGAGTGCCAATCCTCCAGGAATCTCAAGGAGGAAAATCAAAACCACCCGGGGCATGACCACCAAAGGTAAAGGAAGTTCTTCAGTTGGAGAGACAGAACAAGGAGTCCGAGTGTCCGGCTCCCGGTCCTCTTGCCTGCTCCAGATCCTCTCACCTGACTGCCCGGATGAGGTTCTTCACAGCAGGCATGATGTCTTCAAAGGTCAAGTCACACTGGTAGGCCTTCTCCTCATTGGTCTCTTCTGCGGGGCCGTCAGCTGTGGGCAGAACTGGGACTTAGCTGGAAGGACACAGTGCCTTGTCTAATCAGTTGGCATGGCTACTCATGAAATGCCTCTGCAGGTCCAGTTCCCTCAAATTAAGAGTGGTTAAGAACTCTAGGGCTGTCTGGATATCTCAGTGGGTTAGGACTGTGGTTGCAAAAGCCAAAGATTGGGAGTTTGATTCCCCCACTGTGCCTCCTATGAGTGGAGCCAACCTGGGTAGCCTTGGGCCATCGACACGGTCCCAGGTACCCCCAGATGTACAGAAAGCGAAGCCACTTCCAAGCACTCTCTACGCGGAAAACCTTCTAGCTATCACAAGGCTTGGCTTATTCGCTTGATCCATTCGTAGGCCTTTTTGCCAAGCAAACTCTTTGTCTCCCTCTGGACTGGATAGGCCAGGTTTAAGATGAAACGATCAAACTGCGCTTGATCAGAAGAAAAGGTGGAGAACCTGAACTTTATAGATGCTCCACTTTGGAGGCAATGGTTCAAAGCAACGATATGGTGCTGCTATCAGACCTGCCTCCCGGATTCTTCAGTCTTTCTCCTCCCTCCCTTTCCTTTCCCCTGTATTTGACCATGAGTGAGCAGGTGTAACAATCTGCTGTGAGTTTTGTTAAACGGCCAAAGCAGTTTATGTAATTTCTTAGTCTTTTTTTTCCCCATTAGCTATAGTACTGACAGATCAGCCTCCCAAGCATTCTTAGCATGGTGCAACTTCTCCATATTTCAAATACTTTTTGCATCTTGGTAGTCATTTGTCTCCAAGCCCATAATCTGATGCCATGCAGTAGAACTGAGAATATATAGCACCATACAATAGAAGCCAGTTTTCAGTTTTTATTGCACATGATCATCATCATCTTAGAGCTGCAGAGTTGGAAGGGGCCCTATGGGCCATTTAGTCCAGCCTCTGTCAAGGAGACACAGTGTAGAATTGAACTCCCAACCTCTGGCTCCACAGCGAGAGATCTAAACCACTGGGCTCTCCAGCAATTCGATATTAAATTCTTCATTTTAAGAAACTGCTCCAGGTCATCTCTGTTCTGGCTTCTGTGGTGTGGCTAGAATCCCATAGTAGAGTCATGCAAATTCCATAGCTCCTATATTTGGGCTCCAAAAGATGATAAATAATAAATTAAAAAATTATGTTCCTTCCCAACACAAAGGTTTTTCAGATAAAAGTTGGATGATGAACAGAGCTCCAAACATACACATTCTTAAGCCGTCCCTTTTCCTCCTTGGAAACAAGCTAAAGCAAAGTTCAATAAAAACAAGAAGACCCCCAATAATTCTCAATGTTGGTGGCTTCCGAAGCCTACCTTCCACCGGTGTCCTCGGTTTCAGCCTCAATGAGGCCCGGAACCTTGTCCTGTCGTTGAAGCTCCAGCTTTTCTGCACCTTGGTGGGGCTGACAGCTTCGTTGACGTTCTCGGTGCTAGGCGAGCGTCGGAGGGGTGGGACCAGCTGCGCCTTTCCCCGGCTGCCCTGCCTCTGGGAATTGCTCAGGCGGATGCGGTCCTTGATGCCCATTTTATTGCTGCAAAAGTAGGCAGTGGAAGGAGGAGAGAGCATCAACTGGGGACGGGGTGGAGCTTTTGAGGGAGGGAGGATGCAAATTGGAAGCCGGAAAGGGTGTTTTTTTCTTAATTTAATTTTTTAATTTAATTTTTTCAAATGGTCTGATCGCAGCCTGATAGAAGAATCAGGATCTTTTTAAAGTTCCTGCAGGCAAAGCTTGCATAAACGAACTTTATCCCACCAGGGTTTAGAATGTCTTACCTCAGCCCAGAGTCCTACCATTTCCATATATTCCAGGGTCAGTGAAAGAGCCGGAATCCCAGTGGCGAAATGCCACTGGTTCTCTTGATGCTCATATGAAACAAGGGAGCATTTAGGTCTAGGCCAGAGGGCTGGACTAGAACTCATGCAGCCCACTTGGGTAACCCTGGACCGGTCACACTCTCCTCAGCATGATCTACCTCGCAAAGCTGTCGTGAGGATGAAGTGGAGGCGAACCATGTGTGAGCTTAACAGTGAAAATGAATAATAATAGTAGTAATAATAATAATAGTAATGATGATAATAATACAGTAAGACCACAGTATCCGTGGGGGATTGGTTCCAAGTCCCCTTGTGGATGCTGAGAAAAGTGGATAATAGGGAATCTTATACATTGCATGGTCTCCACCCCCCTCTAGTGGCCTCTTCTGCTAAATACAACATGGAAATATATTACAAAAATATTTCTGGGTTTTAAAAAATATTTTCAGGCAGTGGATAAGTGAATCAGTGGATACTCGTCCCGTGGTTAGGGAGGTCCTACTGTGATAATAATAATAATGGCTTAGGGGACTGTAACCTTCACAAACCCTCATTAAGTTGGCCATGGCTTTGTTGTTCCTTCTCAGTGAATTCCAAATAAGAGCTCCAGTCATCAAAAAGGGGTTAAATACTCTGAACAACTCCTGGCTTCTCCATCCAACAAGCAGAATAGATTATGCAAGTCAGAGGCCTTCATGCAAATTTGCATAACGCATAGCAAGCTGCTGAACCACGCCTGTTGTTGAATTCGGCTGAGCTTATTTTGTCCTATGTCTGTAGCAAACAGAGCCCTAATGCACGAGGTAGGAATCCAGCCATGCCACAAACTCGGTTCCACCACCAGAGCATAACTGGAGATATTTGACGGTAGAAACTGAAAACAAGCAAACAAACAGACCGCAAAGCTTTGAGACAACAGAGAGTTAAAACGAGATGAAAAGACACTGCCGGACAAAGGCCGTCTGCAGAGGAGATGTCTGGACAGGGGCAGAAGAGGGGGAATGTCCCCGTTGAGCTAGCCAACAAATGCCTCTGATGCAGGATGATGTTCCAGCAGAAGAGGCAAGAACATCTCCCAAGCAAGGAAGCGAAGGCCTCAAACCCAAGCAAGGGATAGATTGCGCCAAAGAGGACATGGCCAACCTCTTGCCTGCAAGAGATACCCATCGCTCTGTCCAACCGCACACCTCACACAGCTTCTAGAGATTGGCCTCCATGTCAAAACGTCTCCTAAGGGGTGCCCTGCAGACTTCGGAGTCTTAGAATATTCTGGAAGGCTGGGGTTGGGTCGGATTCCACTCAGGAAGACTGGGGAAGAGACAGAGCTCTTGAGACAGATGTCATTCCATTGAGGGTTTCTCTGTCCTGGCACTGGGGGAGCACAGTGTGGGGGTAGCTGTCATCACATCCATCATGGTCGTAGCACTGGGTGTGAAGAGGGGAGGGTCCTACTCACATGTAGGCTCTCAACACAAGCAATCCCATTGGGGGGGGAAAACTGGGTGGTTGCTTGGGTGTAAAGACTGCATGCCAGCAGGGACCTTCCTCTCTTCAGACCAGGTGCAGGATCCGTGAAGAACGTGACCTTGGAGAGGGTGGTCCAGAGTGGTTCCCTCTAAGCCGGTTCATTGCCTGCTTCCACTGGGGAGGAAAGGGAGCCTACAAATGACACAAATAAAATAAATGAATAACTAAATTGCTGGGCACTTTAGTTATCCCCCCCCCAAGAAGCATCTACTCATGTGGAAGCATCTACGCGTGGACCAAAACCTCCACAGTGACAACTTTCCCCATTCAAGAGGTGCAAGATTTTTTTTTTTTCCTGGAGATTGCAGAAGCGACCACGTGTGCTTTGTGCCGTTCTTTTTTTAATTGGCTTATCACGCAATATCGGCCAAAAGAGTGGTTGATTTCCAAGGAGGAAGAAGGCTGTGAAGGAAGGATCAACCAACAGCACCAGCTTTTGACCACGTTTGGCAATGGGTCAAGGAGAGGACGTCTTCCACTGACACTCAAAAAAAAAATTAATCTTAGAGTATCCTTCCCATGTGGGGTCTTCTCCTTCAGCACAGCCTTTGCGGCGTGTCAGAGGAACCCCCCCCTCAAGTCAACCATCTGCTCAAGCAAAGCAGGGGTCACAAATCCACCCAGCTTTGCCATCATCTTGCAAGGCCTGAGATTCTGCCCAACCTTCTCTGGAACGGTTGCGAAAATGCTCTCTTTTGAGGTCCTTTGGCTGTCATTAGTGACCTTCTGACTGAGAAGGTTCAAGCCAGCTTGATGTCCCTCAGCCCCTAAGTTGGAAAAGCACCATCTTATGCCAGGGTCTATACCAGCGGGGTGATTTCCAAACTCTGTGGCCAACCTTCCCCCCCTCCATGCATCTTAGCTAAGAAGAAAGGAATAACTTCAGGGCCAGACCTTGTGGGAAATTTTGTACAAACTTTGAGTTCTTTCTTCTTTCTTCTTCCTTTTTTTTTTTTTTTTTTTTTTTTTGCAGGAGAAAATGTGTTGCGGTAATCACCCTTTCATGACGACGTTCCATGCATGCATTCTAAAGGGAACCCAAGGACTAGTGTGAAATCAATCTTGCACAGATCCGTGGTAGGTCTAATTGCCTAGAGGTTCTACGGAGATCCTACAGACCTCCAGAACCTGTGAGGCTGGGGTATTACCCTTCAGATGCCGTCGTGGGGCTCAGCGGCCCAAGCAAGAACTCAAATCCCCACACCTGCGGCAAGTGGTAGCATCGCCATGCTGTTGGAACCACTTCCCCAGGAATGGATTGCGTGCCCACGTGTGTTGGCCCAGACAGATATCTGCTTGTATTGTCGGTACCCACTGGCCCTAAGAGTTATTCCAGAACTGGTCTGGAGACAAGCACCCACAGATAGGTAGGTCTCCAGCACATCTTTGCAAAAAGTTCATGTAAAGTATAACTGGAAGCGATATCAATATCCTTGTTTTCCGTTTTTGAATTTGGAGGCCACAGAAAAACCCATACGAGATATCTGAAGCAGTATGGATCTTGACTGATTTTTTCCCCCTCAGCTGGAGTTACAATGTAGAAGAGCCTAATATTCAAGAACTGCGTAACCTCATTAATTTTAATGGGACTTTTTAGTAATGCTGTTGTTCTGGTCCTTAGGCTCTAGATCAGGGGGAGAAAACAAACAGTGTCACAGATATTGTTGGTCTGCAACTTCCATCAGCCTTAGATCACACAAAAGTGGCAAGGGTGATGGCAACCTACAAGGTCCACATGTCCCACCACTCAGTTCTAGGTTTTCAGAATGAGTGGGTGAATCCTGGCCAAAGGCTCTGTGTTTGTTCTGGAGTGGAAGGCGAGGCACCTCAGAGCTTTTAAGACAAGTTTCTGGCTTTTGACCTGCTGCCTCTCAAATATGCAGTGAAAACAAGCCAGGCCTCAAGTCTCCATAAAGCAGAGGTTCCCAACCTTGGTTCCCCAGATGTTCTTGGACTGCAACTCCCAGAAATCCTGACCATCACAATGAATGGCAAAGACTTATGGGGGTTTTGGTCCAAGAACATCTGGGCACCCAAGGTTAGAAACCTACTGCCTTAGAACCTCTAGGGAAGATGTAAATGCAAACCTATTTGTTTTCAAGTGGATAAAATTCTGCATTAGCTCCACCCCTTTGAACATAAAGCTACCAGGCGCCACCCCTTCACCTCTGAGTCTCCGACCCCAGTGACTCAAGGGACTTGGGAAACAGAGATTCCAAAAATCTCAAAAACATGAGAATCATTTTTAAAGCCATTGGCGTCTTTCTGTTCTGGCTTGTTGGAGGCCAACTCTACATGGACTAGAAGTTGGCCCTCAGTTCTGTCGTAGAAAGGTAGCATAGAGTTGCTGGCAGGACAACTCAGTGAGTTGGTTGGGAGTTCGATTCCCAGCTGTGCCTCCTGGGAGAAGAGCCAGCCAAGGTAGCCTTGGGCAAGCTGCACATTGGGCCCAGGGTGCCCCCTAGAGGAAGGGAATGGGAAACCACTTCTGAGTATTCTCTACCTGGAAAACCCTAGGAAAGGTCTCCATAAGTCAGAGTTGACTTGACGGCACACAATGATGATCCATTTAAAGCTGTACTGGAGACGTACCATCTGATGCCAGGAGAGCAAACCTATCTCCTGTCCCATGAAGGACTTCATACCAAGGTACTACTTGGGATTTCTACCATGCATATTATATTTCCCTTGCGCATTGGCGCAGCATGCTCTTCTTTTAAAAGCAAAAGAAAAGGGAGACAGAAAAGGAACTGGACAACAACGCAATTACAACCGACAATTGTTCCGACTCCAAGACATCTCCTGGGTTTTGCAAAACCTTTGTACCTCGTTTTCCAGCCGGGGTGAATCCGAAAGAAATTTCTTTTACTAGTTAAGATCTGGCTAGAGAGAGAGAAGGACGCAAGACGAACAACAACAACGGAAAGGGATAGGTAGGAAGGAGGGGGAGAGGAAAGAAGGGGGAAAACGTTAGTTCCAGGGGAACGGCGGCGTGGGAAGAAGAAACGGTAAGGAGGCCGATCCAGGAGTAAGCCATGCTGAGGCTTGCAGCATCAACGGAGGACCTCGTGAAAAGCACCCCCTGCAGGACAGAGCGCGCTGAACGGGGTGGAACTCCTCAAATACTAGAATTGTGGAGTTGGAAGGGGCCTCCAAGGCCATCGAGTCCAGCCCCCTGCTCCTCAAGGCAAGAATCCAGGTCGAAGCAGATCGGACAGAGGGTGGTCCAGTTTCCTCTTGAAGCCCTCCAACATATTAGGATCCAAGACATAAACACTTTGGCTTTATCTTCTGGATCCTAAATCACATGGATCAATGCACTCCTTTCATCTGGAAAACTGTTCCCTGAAACTTTACCAATGAATTGTGTAGAATTCATTTATAGCAGAATTGAAGGGTCTACAGAATCAGGAGGTGCCCTGTTCTTAAGGGGCTCTTTCACCCCATCTTGTGACCATTTGGGGGCATCGAGCAGCAGCTGGCATGGGTGCAACACTCTCCCTAAAGAAGAAGTAGTCATACTGGGGCAGAACGAGCTACAAGTTCTGTTCTCCGGCTCCACCGACTCATAACCTACATTATCCCATTTCAGATAAGTGTCTGTTTTGGAAGTGAGCACCAGCATGCTTCACAAGGGTCCTTTCCTGCTAGTCATCCATTTAGTCATCTAGACCTCAAACATCCCAGAAAGTGATCTGAGAAACTAATTTCAGGTTTATTTTTTCCCCCCTCTTACTGTCCAATTTTGAAAGATCTACCTTAGATGCATCATTTTTTCCCTTCGCAGCAGGATTTAGATGCAAAGCAGAAAAGGATAATAATGTTAAGGTGTGGGAAATCTAACAGTAGCCACCTTCAGCTGTCCTCAACTACAATGCCCATTGACCTGACAATGGGGATGATGGGAGCTGTTGTCCAGCACCTTGGGAAGGCATGAGGCTGGGGATGGCTAGATCACAATGCATAGCTTACGGTTCCCCCTTCGAAACCAAACACGCACGTACGTACACACCCCAGAGTATGCCAGCTTCGAAGACCTCTCCCTCCACAGTTGTGATGGATCTGTGGTGCTTCTGGAGGAGAATGTACCATCCTGCAGGCTCCCCTTTTTTTTTCAGGGGGAACCAAAGCAGGCACCGCAGCTTGAAGGGAAAGAAAGGTTACCTTAGGCGTAAGCACTTGTGAGGCGGAGCTTCCTCTTCGATCCAGCTGCTGGGAATGAAGGTGGGGGGCATGGTGAAGTGATGAGGAGATGGCGAGAGGAGGAGGAGGAGGAAGAGGAGGAACCAAGGGAGGCAAAGGAGGAGAGAAAGAGAGAGAGAAACAGAGGATGAAATGAGAGAGACAACTGCCCAGGAGGGCAGAAGGTGAGGAGTTCGATAGACCCTTTCAACCTGCCCTGAAAACTCCAGTGTTTAAGAACGAGGTCGGGAATCCAGATCCTGTGCCAGAAAATCTGATCTGGCAAAGGTGGGGTGTCTCTGGTACCAGGAAGCCAAGATCCGGATAGCGTGGTTTGATGGAGAGTGAGGATGTGATCAAACGGCTGTAAAGGCATGCACCTGCTCACACTGGAAAGGGTGGCTTTAACAGGAATGAGCGCCTTGAAAGTGACCCGTCTATCTGCCAGGGAATCGCTCCAGCCAGCCCCCAAAAGTCATAGCCAAAAAAATCCCCTAACTTAGGCATGGATGAGGGTCAGGCTGGAGCGCTATTTCCCACACATCATGTGATGTCCGGAAAGTGGTCCGAACTGTGATCTATTCCCCCTCACCCCGTGTGATCACACCCTGAGCTTCTCTGTCAAAAATGTACCCATTCCGAACGGTCCGTGGCAATCCAACCAGAAGCAGCGACGGATGCCGCCACTAGAGGGAGACAAAGACCCATCCTCCGGTGGTGTGTTCTGTTCTGAGTCCAGGTGGGTCACATGTCAAACACACTCAAACCAGAAGGGGGCGCCGTCACAAGAAAAGACACAGAGCCAACACACCAGAGAGAGAGCAGAGGGTGGGCGAGTGGGCGAGAGGCGGGGGGGTGGGAGGAGACACACGGACTGGCGAGAAGAGGAGGGTTTCGGCCCTACCTTTCCCCCAAGCAAAAGGGGGGACTGATGCTTTTCAGGCCAATGGTGAAGGAGTGATATGGTGGTGGGGCTCCATCAGGGAACTTCCTCACCTCCAAGTTCCTAAGCCCTCCGTTGCGAGCTCGGTGCAAGTGGTCGAACATAAGGACCAGTTCTCGGAGACACACGGACTGGCGAGAAGAGGAGGGTTTCGGCCCTACCTTTCCCCCAAGCAAAAGGGGGGACTGATGCTTTTCAGGCCAATGGTGAAGGAGTGATATGGTGGTGGGGCTCCATCAGGGAACTTCCTCACCTCCAAGTTCCTAAGCCCTCCGTTGCGAGCTCGGTGCAAGTGGTCGAACATAAGGACCAGTTCTCTAAGGGGGTGGTTAATAAATAAATAAATAAATAAATAAATAAATAAATAAATAAATAAATAAATAAATAAATAAATAAATAAATAAAT